AAAGAGACAATGAATAAGTTGAACCTCGGTTAAGAGTTAACCGTGAGTTGTGGAACTGGGCCTTAGGAATAGTATATGAGTAGAAAACAATGTTATCGTTCCACCCAGTGGTGCCAGGTCTGTTGTCCTTATGTATTGAAATTTTCTTAATACTTCAGCCGTAATTTGGATTTTTTTCTCCGAAAAAGTCTTCCAAAATTCTTTTAAATTTTTTGTAGCTTTAAAAAATCGGTGGAAAGAAAGCAATTTAAGAGAAAGTCCCCAATCTGGTTACAGTGGTTCCATCGTTTATCCGTCATTCTGGAACAACTCGAATAATCGCTCCATCAAAACTACTTCGTTCAGTTGTTACAAACTAAATTTTGCTAAATTACTATAGATGTACGACTATTCGATTCTTATCGGATATTACTGTAAATTATTAATAGTACCATACTGCCATATTATCTTATTAGTTCACCGAACTTACGAATAAATTTCCGCAGAAACTATCTTGTCAGAAAAGTGTGAAAAGTGATCATATATATGTATTCATATATTCGTATTTCCATAGTCATTTCTACCAAACAACATTCGGTGAAGTACATCTGGTAAAATTATTAATTTTATTTCTCTAATAATGATTTTGTACCTATTCCTTTTGTCACAACAAATACAACTCAATAAAATCTATATAGAATAATATGGGACTATACATATAGAGAGAATAATATGGATACATTATAAATCTTTCTAAATTTTTATTTACATTATTAGGTTTCAACATTGTTTTATATATCTTCGTAATAGTTTTCTTTTACATTGAGCCAAAACATTATGATTACTTACGTAATATTGTGTTGATCTTCCATGTGCTGTCAAAACCGCTCTTATTATAAGCTTGCTACAAGACCTTTAAATATATTTACTGACATCTGTTACCAAGACGTTAATAGCAGCTGTTTTAACTGTAAGTTATGAAGTAGGAGATATGAAGAACGAATTTGTTTGTTCAACAAATTCTACAAATACTCAATAGGTTCCAGATAGAGTGAATTTGGTGACCAGAACAAAACTACCAAATGTGCCTTATACAGTTTTTCTTATATAATTTCTCAAACTATTATTAAAAAACCGTACAGTGTAGCAAGGCACATTGTCATGCTGATAGATTCAACTGCCATAAAAGACTGTTACCATAAAGGAGAGTACCTCGTCATCAATAATTAAATAGTTAAAGAAAATGCTGTTAATATTTTGACAGCAGATTCCAATAGATACATTCAGAGCTAATCCTGTAGAATTCATACCTGATAGAATAATAAAGGTTTTGGTAGCTAGCTAAAAGGATTTGGTAGCATATAGAAGATGAATGGTATTATAATAGGTACTTATAGTCACAATATTTTGGCAGTACATATATCGCGTAATAAACATAATATTAATACAATTTGTTCTGTTCCGTCAAATTACATATTTTTATTCGCTATTATTTACAGAAAAATGCTTATCAATTGGTTACAATTGCGTAAAAAAACATTAGTTATATAATTAAAGCAATTTGTAGTAATTACGTAGAATAGGGACCCCCCCCCCTCTCCCCTCATGAGTTTGATCTTGACATATCTTGTGAAGGTCATGATCCTGAGTAACTTTCGACAGATTTTAGCCGTCACTCGTTATCCATTAAAAAGTTATTAACAAAATAAGTTTAAAAAATAACGTCTCTTTTCCACTATTTAAAACAAAAATTCTATATCTATTAAAAATAAAAATTTGCTTTGAAAAAAATTTTTTTTTAATAATATTTGTTTTTAAAGCAGAGAATTTGTTTTTGTACCAACAAATGTGTGATTTTATAACGACTTTAAGCGAAATGAGATCCATTTCACATTCGTCTAAAAGCACAAATTCTTTACGTAAAACGAGATCAATTCCATCTTCTCCCCTACTTAGAGGTGACCTTCTAAACAAGGAGATGTAATGTAAATCTCACTTCGTGTAGGAAGTCGTACGATCCTAGGCAAGGGGAGAATATTAGTTAATATTGTATATATATATATATATA